TAGCAAGGGACCGTGTCGCACTATTGCTAGACCAAGACTCGCCATTCTTGGAACTTGGAGCATTTACCGGGTTTGGCAATGAGAATTCCACCCCATGTGGCAATCTGATTGCCGGGATTGGAAATGTTTGTGGACGCATATGCCTTCTTATGTCTCATATTCCGACCCAAAGTGGAGGAGCTTGGAATGAGATGACAGGTATGAAGCAACGAGCCGAACATTCTAAATAAAATTGCTGACTAGCGACAGTGCTGAAAGTCAACCGCATGATGGAGATTGCATTTGAGAACGACCTTCCACTGATCTCTTTGGTTCAATCGGTAAGTAACACATTATCACACACTTTGAAACTCACATTTCTAATTGATAAAGGCCGGCGTGTTTTTGCCGCAACAATTCAAAGTTTTCCATAAAGGAGGTCAGCTATTCCGCGATCTTGCCCTCCGAACTCGACATGGAAAGCCCTCATGTGCTATTGTTTTCGGATCCTCAACGGCCGGAGGAGCGTACCATCCAGCGTTGTCGGACTATACGATTTTTGTTGAGAACCAAGCTCAAGCTTTCCTTGGTGGGCCTCCGCTCGTGAAGATGGCCACTGGTGAAGTCATTGGGGCAGAAGAACTGGGCGGTGCCAAAGTTCACGCAATAACAACCGGTCTTGCAGACCAAATTGCGTCTGATGAGTGCGATGAATCTAGTCTTTTCCAAAGTTCTTATACTAACTCGGGCATATAGGTTCGATGCTATTCACAAATCACGAGAGTGGGTAGCTTCCCTTCAAGCACGTGTCCCCTCAGTGCCCGGGTTGATTGGGTCACTGCCCCCGAGATACCCCATTGAGGATGTGCTATCAATCGTGAACCCGGATATCCGAAAGCCATTTGACATGCGTGAGGTTTTGTTGCGTATCGTGGATGACTCCCGTCTCTCGGTCTTCAAACCCAAATACGGCCCGAATATGATCACTGCGTCGGCTCATATTATGGGTAGGACCAAACTAGCGAAGTTGATAGTCCGTTCGCTAATTTGATTTTTTTAGGCTTCCCTGTTGGTATCGTTGCCAACCAGCTCTCCGTCATCAATCCCAATGAGGCGGCGAAAGCCACTCAGTTCATTCGCATGTGCAATCAACAGTAAGCCTCAGACAGGAAACTCAAAGTTTCAAATACTGACAAAACCAGACATACTCCCATAATTTTCCTTCACAATGTCACCGGCTTTATGGTCGGGGCTAAGGCCGAGCACGCTGGAATCATCAAAATGGGTGCACAACTCGTTTCGGCGGTCAGTTGCTCCACCGTGCCTCATATTTCGATCATTTTGGGCGCTTCATACGGAGCTGGTAACTATGCAATGTGTGGCCGTGCCTATAGCCCCAGATTCTTGTTTTCATGGCCTACTGGCCGTTGCAGTGTGATGGGCCCAGATCAGCTGTCTGGTGTTATGGAAAATGTGCAGATAGCCAGTGCCAAGTCCAAGGGTCTGACTCTTTCGCCGGAAAAGCTCAAGAAGCAGGTGACTAGTTTCAGAGACAGAGTCGCGAAAGATGCAGAATGCTATTCTACTAGCTCGATGTTGATTGACGATGGAATTATCGATCCGAGAGACACGCGCGATGTTCTGGGAATGTGTCTGGAGGTGGTGTCGCAACCAGGAGTGAATGGAACTCAGACACATAATTTGTTGGCACGAATTTGAATTTATCAAATAGTATACTATCAATATTACAGTGCATGTTAACAAGACTGAATGAATCTTTTACAAAGCGATATTCTGACCCATGCACCTTCCTAATCGGGTACCGCTTTTACCTCGACGGCAAGAACTATGGCAGGATATATGGTTGTACCTAATATGGAAGGCGGTACTGAGGGAGAGTCATTAGCAATCCCCTATTTCTAGCCCTCCCGCCGGCTTCAAATACCTCATTCATTTTCCGGGCGAATAATGGGACCGATACATAACTCCCAAGTCTGGACTCCTGTGGTATCCGAGAAGATGAAGACCAGTTGCTCAATTTCTGAGAGTGCGTTCGCTGTCAGATAGGCGGGGCTGGAGCCACGTGTGCGTCGGGGAATTGATGAACAATAGAATAGAGTGGCGCATACGGAGTACAACATAGGATATTGTTTCTATTAATATTCAAACGGTTTCAGCGTATTTATTTAATGGTGATAACTTATATTAATAAATTCCCTCTACTTGCCCCAGATCAACGTTAGTTATGTGCAATAAATGCAATGCACAAGAAAGGAACAACGCTGTATGATATAGCCCTAAATCTCGTATTTAGCCCTCATTCTCCATCGATTAGCCCATCTAGTTTTAGCTCATAAGCCTAGATCTTGCCCCCTCTTCCCATAATGGGCCAATCTGATAGGCTTGTGCTGGTACTCCCGAGCCCAAACTCCGCAGTTCTTCCTTGACTCAAAGCGGGGAGAGTTATATCTAAGAACGAATCTTTTTGCTCAAAATCGGTAGAAAAATATCTCGGAACAACATATCCTTTCTGCTTCTTCTTATCACACTCACTCCAGGCCTTCGAAGTAACTAGGCAAATAACTAGGCAACATCTCCCCTTCCGTCATAGGCCAATATGCACTAATCGCGAAGATCCATCGACTAGACTAGCCAAGTCCCGAGTCAAACGTCAAGACTTCACCGCTGCATTGTGTTCTCCCAAGCTTTCTCTTTTCCCCTTGTCGTTCCTTAGTCTGGTATTGGTTTATTCTGCACTCGTGCTTACCACCGTGCATTCTGTGTGTCCATTTCACCAACAGGCTTCAGAACCCACTCCTATCTCGATACTCGCCTGCATAGTCTTGCGTTTGTCGCTGGGCCATGACTGGTTCGACTAGAGGATCAGTGCGCATGCGCTACTACGTGCATAAAAAAGGGACTGGATCCTCTCAACGATTCGTACTTAAAGTCCTAAATCTCCGATTATATTCCCACTCTTCTCCGCGATAGTTATTGGTTCTTTGAGCTGACTACCCAGTATAGGTACTAGCCCACCTCATCGAATCTAGTTGTTTAGTGGATATCTACTCCATACCAGGCATTTTTATTTTGGATATATTGTGATATTGTTGTCTGATTTTCGCCTCTTATACACAAACAATGTCATCGGAGAATAATATCACACTGGCATCGAACGTCCTCGGCACCATCGGGACAGTTCTCTGGTGCATCCAACTCATACCACAGATCTGGTATAATTGGCGCCGTAAGAACACAGATGGATTCCCCGCGGCGATGATGTTTCTGTGGGTAAGCTGTAAGTTATGTCTCTGTCTCTTCATCGGTTTGCGGGCTTCGAGGATTATATTTCGAGTCTCTTGATATATGAAGCATGTCACCTAAAATAGGAAGGAGAAGGGAGGAAAAAGAAAATAAACCTTCGAGATCAAAATTGGCTTACAATTGTGATTCATGCAGGCTCGGTTCCAATGGGCGCATATCTGATTCTGCAGGTAAGTTGAATTACCCTAATGCGCGGACTTCTGGTCTAGTAATTTCGATGTTTTTTTTTATCTGCATCTATCGCTGACTGCTATCTTTATGGTTCTTGCTATAGCAAGTCAATATCCCGTTGCAGATTCAGCCTCAGATCTTTGGGTTCTTTTCGTTGGTTAGTTGGAGTCAGGTTCTTCATTATAACCAGTGGGTTGGTTTCATGTATGGATCTATTGCGATCGAATTGCTAATCTCAGCTCATCAATTTCAATAGCAACTATAGCAAAACCAAGGCTGTTCTGGTATGCTTGGGCACGATTGTTTTATTTGGGGGATTGGAGGCTCTTCTCATCCTAACATTGAGAGTATTATCCATTTTTCTTTCTGTTCGCTTTCGAAGAATGGAATATCTAATCAAACTTGACAGATACCATATAATAACGGTGTGACATGGCCCGACATCGTGGTTGGGGTTATAGCCGCCATTATCCTCATCGCAGGACTGGTGCCGCCGTATTTTGAATTGTGGAAGAGAGACGGGCGTGTGATTGGCTTCAGTGGGTTCTATTCTGATTTACAGCGCTTGATGGGCACCTGCTGATGTTAGTAGATTGGGTCTTCCTCTGCCTCGACACGTTTGGTGGACTGTTTTCTCTCTTCGCATTAGGTCAGGCTTGCTCTGTATCCTGAAAATATCTACGACAAATAGCTGACACATTTCTATTATAGCGGCACAAGGGTCATTTGACATACTTGGGGGGATTATGTATATTTTGGTGGTAGTTTTCGAGGCAGGGATATATATCAGTCATATTTCCTGGCGAATCCGGTATCGAAAGTTACGCAAGGAAGCAAAAGATTCAGGGAAAAGCATTGATGATTTGCTTTTACTCAGGAGGAATGACACGCAAGAGACAGAGGATGTTGAAAAGGGCATTCTTCCTGCTGCTCCTGCTGCTCCTGCTGTTAGTTCCTCCGTATAAATCCTGCCCATAAGAATCTAGACGTCGACCAGCAATGAAAGAATATCAAAATAATCAGATAAAAAAAAGCCGTTGCAACCAGCTCAGTCTAAATACACCTATTTAACATACCAACTCTCTCTCTATCCTATCCACAGTATCATTTAGCACACAAATTCCGCATTCTCAAACTCCCGAGTCTTGCTGCACAACATTCTTCGTCTTGACGTATCTATCCCACGCAGCACAATTCTCATTAAACGGAGTATAATCTATGAGATCCCGAATTTCATCTTGTCGCTCAATAAACTGTAATGCAAGACCCTCATCGACATGCCACCCAATGTGACAGTGCATCAACCACGCGCCGGGGTTATTCGTCTTGAAAGCAATCAACAGCCACCCACCTCCGGCCAGCACTGCCGTATCTCGACGCGGGGGATTCTGCGTAATAATAGAACCATCCCATTGTGGCTTCCCAGGCCCAGGCTGTCCTTGCGCTAGAATAGAGAAGTCGTGGCCCCTAAATGGATCACATTAATCATTTGCCGAACAGGTCAAGCTCAGATCGGTAATCTGGCCATGTCAAATGCAACCAACAAGTTTGCGTTTTCTTGTATGCCTTGAATTCCGAGTCCTCGAGATGAGTGTCTGATTTAGCCACAGTAACGTTTGGTGACAACCAAAACACTTGAGTTGCTCACACCGATACCACCTCAACTAGTACCAAGTCTGCCATTTTCACCACAGCTGGTGTGGCGTCCAGTACCAATCTGCTTGGATTGAGTGATACTGGCTCAATGGCCTGTCCGGTCATATTTACCACTCCAAGTGGCCAGACAAGTAACGACACAGTTGCTACAAACACGACTAGCGCATCGACACCACAAACCAATGTGTGGACTTTATATGGAAAATATGTTATGTGCAGCCAGGACAACATCAACTTCTACGCCCAACCGACAGGACAAGGTGGATGGTATATCCTGCTATGGAGTGCAACGCCAGATGCCGCTCTTCGGAATATTCCAGTGACGCTGAGAACCATTGGCCCTGCGTCTGGCTAGCTCTGGTACTTTTGGGCGGGCCACGTAGGCTATTTTGTGGGGTATCTGTAGATCGTGAATCGTGAATCGTGTCGTGTATTATGTTATCTGGATTGTTGGATAAGATCAGGCCACCTAAGGGGTTCTGCAATAAGAGTGCTATAGTTATAGGAGTAGTTGACGAGCTATACAAGCTCAAGGGTCTTAGGTATACTACATTTCAGCTCTATATCTATGCTCTTTGCTAACAGAAAAATAAACCCAACAATTGAGATGCCCAATTTTAATCCAAGACACTTTTTCATATATCCTCTCCTATTTTCCCCTCCAAAAGCCCAAGGACCCCCCGAATCCTTGCATATTAAAAAGGCCATAGCTTTTTTTGGTCCCGGGAGATCAGCAACTAACGTGACTCTGCCCAAGTCGCTACTTTCCCCTCTCAACTTCTTTAACCTTTGACATCTCTGACTTGGTCTATACTGACGTGTCTGAACCGAAAAAAGTACGAGATTGTCTTTATCTCGATCGACAGAGCACAACAGTTAACTAGAGTCTGGTTTCTCCCCCTATCGTCTTAGAATGGCATGAAGACTCGACAATGACGGAACGGATATCACGTCTGAAGGCGAAGTTGCTTGGTCGATTATCTCCAAAAGCGGATGCAGATCCGAGTGCCCACTTCAACCGAAAACCCCCCTCAAGCCCTCTCGACTCCAACAAATCCCCAGCTTATAGCATCGCATCTTCGAAACATTTGGATGAGATCACTGCTTCTCGCATCCTTCAGGTACAGGAGCCCCTATCCCCAGGGACAAACCCGGAACTGGGTTCCTCCGTTTCTGCGCCTTCGGAACAGCCTCACACAGGAACTCGCAATTGTACGCCGTCGACGGAGCCATATAATTCTTCCTTGCCAACTCCTATCTCGGGCGATCTCCCGTCTCCCCTTGAAACCCCTCCGTTATCGACTCCTCAGCATTCCGATACCACCTCCTTCCAATCCACCCACTTGAAAGCTCAGACACCAATCCTGCCCGAAACTCCATTGACTCCGACCCTGCATACTGTTGCAGAGTGGCCTACGAATGATCGCCCTCCGACCTCCTACTTTCCTCCCTCAAGCAAGCGCCCGAGCCTTGCGATCCGTCGGCAATCTCTTCTCCCAGACACACACCACCACCTGATTAGTGGGCTACTGGACGCGAGTGTTTTCTCTTCGGGAGACCAGCCTAGTGGTTTCACGCCCGTTGTTCCTTGCGAGATGGTCACACGTCGGGTTTGGGTCAAACGGCCCGGTGGCTCGGCCACCTTGGTGCCCTGCAGAGAGGATGCGGTGGTAGATGAGCTACGCGACCATGTCATCATGAAATACGGGAATTCATTGGGGAGAAGCTTCGACTCGCCCGATATTGCTATCCGAATTTTGCCACGAGAGGGCTCGAATCGACCAGGTCTCACTGAGCGTCTCTTGAGCCCGGAGGAAGTCCTAATATCTATACTCGATGCATACTACCCTGGGGGACAGAACATCGAGGAAGCATTGGTGATCGATGCCCCGTCACGGCGGACCCCAAAGCCATCGCCGCGCCATTCGATGTACCAGTACCACCAATCAGAACCCGGCGAACATGGCGATTACTTTCCTCTCATGCCGCCGGTCAAGGTGAACGCGGGCACACCGTCTGCACACTCGGGGGCTCCATCAGTAGCGGCTAATGCGCCGTCAATTTCCATCCTCAACACTGGTGTCGCTCCTTTACTACCATCTCCGGGAAGCCGTAGGGCACGGCATCAGCGACCTCCTTTGACACGACACAGAACAAATTCTCCCACTATCCTTCACAACCAGAACACCCAAACTCCCGGTATAACAGGTACGTTTAAACGACTTTTTTTGGCTTAACATAGCCACTGACATGCCTAGAAACTGGCCCTACTCCTCATTCCCAACCTCTCCCAGCTCCTCCTCCCGCAATGCCTACACCCCCCGCCGCACCACCGCCGGTGGAATCTCCGCAAGTGAAATCACACACTCCCCCGGCAACGGCATCACCACGCGTGATGCGAAAAACAAAAGCAGCCACTTCTCCTGGTGCTATGTTTGGCGGGTTGATCGACGGCACCGTTCCGCCAATCAATGTCCTCATCGTGGAAGACAATATCATCAACCAGAAGCTTTTGGAGGCCTTTATGAAAAGGTTGAAGGTGCGCTGGAAGTGTGCAATGAACGGCGAAGAGGCAGTGCGAAAATGGCGACAAGGTGGATTCCATTTGGTCCTGATGGACATCCAGTTGCCCGTGATGAACGGCCTGGAAGCCACCAAGGAGATCCGGCGCTTGGAGCGCTTAAATGGCATTGGTGTTTTCCCGAAGACAGCCTCTGGTCGCTTCAGCGCGTCCAGTACGCCTGCGACAGAGAGAAGACCTGGGCTTCACCGTACGGTCAGTGAAGAGGACACTTTGACAGATCTCTCGCTGTTCCGGAGTCCAGTCATTATTGTCGCATTGACAGCTAGCAGTCTGCAAAGTGACCGACATGAGGCATTGGCTGCTGGCTGCAATGATTTCTTGACCAAGGTAAATCATCTCCTATCTTATTCTTCCGAATATGCTAACATTTCTCGAATAGCCCGTCGGATTCCCTTGGCTTGAGCAAAAAGTTACAGAATGGGGCTGTATGCAAGCCCTGATTGACTTTGAAGGCTGGCGCAAATGGCGCGGGTTCATGGATTCTCCTCGCGCCGCCTCGCCAACTGTCGATACATCATCCAGCCCGATGCAAGGTGGCTACCGCAAAGAACCGCCACAAGTGGATCCCCCGTCACCCTCGATCTCCCGGCCCGCTAATAAGTCCAATCACTTCGAGACCAAGCCAACCCTACCAGAAGCCGCGCAAATCATGCGGGAGGATTCATGGGGTAGCGGAAGTCTCGACAGTATAGATTCAACATCAGGAGACGGCGCGCCAGGCAGTGATGCGACGGTCGTGCCTCTTGATGAAGAATGAAGACGGATCTGTATTTGAATGAGTTACCATACCTTGGTTGGTTGGTCCGTACACGCTCCCATCACTCTTTTTTTTCAACCTATTTGGTTTGGTTTTCTGTCTCTCCCATTGAATACCCCGTATAGCAACGTCTCTTTTCCTATACTTTCATATTTTTGTCATGGTGGCATGCACTTCACTTCGAGGTCCTCAGACCCGGTGCATGGTTTTCCTCGTGGATCTTCTTTTGGCCATATAGATATATTTTGTTATTTTGCGATGCATACGCGTCTGCCTGCTCACATTGCCTTTGTGCCTGGCTTCTTTTGTCTACCGATATTTACTTTTGCATACAACTTCCATGCAATGGACATCCTCATATACACGAACGAGATGTCCATGCTTTTATTCTTCAATGTATAATTTTCTTTGTTTCCGACTGGCTGGAGGCCTTGGTGTATTCTCCTACCTTGTACTTATCTCACTAATTATTTGAGGGTGATGATCCATGCGAAATTATACGATGTATGGCTTCTGTCTATCTCTACTAAAATATACAAGTCTCAAGATACTCCCTGAAGCACCGAGACAAAAATGTCGCAAATAACCAAGAGCCTACATTGTATACAATTTACTCTTTCCAGATCCGCGCGCATCCAACGTAGTACAACACCTCTCAAGGCAAAGACTCGTCCAATAGCCGTTGCTCCAATGCGACGATCGCATTCACAAGCCCTATGTGCAAGGCCGAATCAATACGTAAATCTATACAATGCGATGATCACATCACCAATCAAGAGAAAGCAGCATGACCGAAGTAGGAGAGGCAACCCAGGGAACCGTTGAAAGCAAATAATACGAAGTCCGGATTTGGGTACTTATGCAGGTGATCCAGATCCGGGCTTTGTCTTCTCTCTGAGCATTGTTCGCATGTGATGTTCGTATTGTCTTCGATTCCTTAAATACCATAAGCTGGCCCCCCGAACCTCCATCTTACATTCCAAACCCTACATACATCCTACATACCAGTCTATCGTCTATCGTCTATCGTCTATCATTGTCTTCCAGACCAGGTACGATACCATTTACCAAAAGACCTCCTCTCAGCAAACCACCAACCACAACTACAAACTATAAACCCCGCATCTCGCCATCACTATCTCACCCCTCACCCAACTCGACCATGCAGTCAGCAAATATGCCATCAACCCCAGCCTCCCCTACTACTACTTCATGGCTCCAGAGTGCCCTCGCCTCAATCGGCTCTATTTTCCAGACTTCTTCCAAGGAAGACGACTCTGAGTCCGATGCGATCTCTGGATGGGTTGGGGCGAGAAGACGACGCTGTCGATCTGTCGGGGAGGCTCGTTGATAGTTGACTACTATCTGGTTTATCCCTGAGAATGGGAATAATGATCGGAATGGAGGGCTGGATGGAATAGTGCGGGATCTGCTGGTCATATCTGTCGCTCTTTATCTTTTATCTTTTCTTGGCGAAGCGCTGTGCATTGTGATTTTGATATCTTGGGGTTTATATCTTTTTGGCTTCTTGTTTTGTTTCCTAAGGGCTTGCAGGATTGGTCAGAGATTGAATTATATATGACATTAGCGAAGTGTTTATTGGTTATATATGTAGGGTCGTGAATAAGTGATTGATATGACCACCACAATATTAAGATTAAGATTTTAAACTAACTGCGGTTACTGCAATACAATATATCAAAAACCACAGACATCTTTAGTCCTAGAGAGATCCATTTGCAAAGACGAGGCATACAGTGTACAGGTACCTTCCGTTTTAGTGCTCAGACATTGCCGCTTTTCGCTCCCGGGTAAAACTGAGCACGCTGTCACGTGGGACTGGTTGACCTTAAACCGATCCATAGTAAAGCACCGAGACCCGTTATTCTTTGTCGAGGGCCACCTCGATATTAACCAGTGAACCAATGGGTTCAAAGACAACGACATGTGGGAGTGGTGTTTGATTTCCAGCCTCTTTCAGTGATTCCCATTGGCAATCAGGAAATTGAGAGGCGACAGAATGCACGATAGATCAAAACCCCCCATCTCCTTTGAACCCGACAGTCTGGATAAAACCCAAAAACCCTCCACTCGCATCGAGTAAATTGACAAGCGAGGCTGTTAGAAAAGGGGAATAGATTTTATTTATCCAGCGCCGTTTCCTCTAGAAATTTCCCCGTTGCTTTTGCTCTCCTTTTCCATCATAATGGTTTCTGATACTTCCTCATCCGAGCGAGCCCCATCTGTACCCCCAACCAACGCCGAGCCTGACACGCAGACCCCTGTCAACGCGGCTCCAATCGCGGTCGACAATTTTGGCGACGTATGTAGACTCACTCGACCGTCTGGCCCATCGCGACACCGGGAATTTAACCGTCTTGTAGGACACTAACAGTGAATTCGACGAGCTGTCCGATCTCACCTCCCTGTCGGAGAGCGTGCTGGAATTCGAGTATGAAAATGGTCGGCGGTATTGCAGTACCCGCTTGGTAAGTAGTCCATACATACATACCCTTGGTACTAAGCTTCAATGACCAATCGATCGACGACTAGGGAGGTTATATGTACTTGCGCACTTCCACACATTCCTCTAGTTAGAGGTTGACCGAGTTAGGATGCCGAATGACGAGGAGGAGCAGGATCGAATGGATCTGGTAAGGCGCTGCCATTACTAACTAGTGCCTTTCCATGTGCACGCACTGACTCTGTCTTCAGACACATCACATGTCCGTGTAGCAACGCATTCCTGAACGAGTGTGGCTAACCAAGCGGCGCAGATGGCTGATGTTGCTAGGAGGAGAGCTCTACAATGCCCCGATCACATCATCACCGCAGAACATTCTTGACCTGGGAACGGGAACGGGCATTTGGGCTATGGATATTGCCGAGTACATGAAACCCTCCATCTTCTATCTTTACATACCGCAAGACTAAACCCAGATCATAGGAAATTCCCCAGCGCCCACGTCATTGGGAATGACATCAGCCCTATCCAGCCGAGCTGGGTAGCCCCGAACATCGAGTTCATCATGGAGGACTTCGAAAGCGAATGGCAGTACGAACGAAACCACTTCGACTTCATCCACGCACGATGTCTAGCAGGGTAATTGATATCCTTACCGCATTCACCGTCTATACCAACGAGAGTAACACTAACACACTACGCAGATGCGTAGCCGACTGGCCAGGGTTTATACACCAAATCTACGACCACCTCAAACCAGGCGGGTACTTTGAATCTCACGAGAGCGCCGTCTGGGCCCGCAGCGACGACGGCACGCTAAAAGCAGACTCCGCGCTCATGGAATGGCAACAGGCAGTGAACTTCGCCGGCGAGAAGAGCGGCCGCGAGCTGAACATCTACCACAAGCTCAAGGACTGGATGATCGCGGCGGGCTTTGAGGACGTGCGCTTGTCGGTGTACGCGCTGCCGTTCTCGCCCTGGCCGCGCGATCCGCATCTGAAGGCGTTGGGGAAGTACCAGGCTGTGCAGTTGCAGCAGGCTATTGATTCTTATTCGCTGCGCTTGTATACGCACGTGCTGGGCTGGAGTGCGGATGTCGCGAAGATTCATAATGCGGTTGTTAAGCGGGAGTTGCGGGATAAGAAGTTGCATGCTTATGTTCAGACGTGGGTTCAACATATCCCCTTGGTGGCATGGATAGGAGGACTAACTATGAGCAGAGTTGCCGTCTATGGGAGAAAGCCTCTTCGCTCCTGATAGTTATTATCGCCGTGGAGAGGTGATTATGTAAGGCTCACCAGTTGTACTTAAGTGATAAAAGCGGCAAGAGGTGACTGAAATGGAAAGAGAAAGGGTTCGATATCATCCGGTTATAGTACATAAGCGACATCCTCCATCATACATCCATGGATGAGTATGCATAGTAAAATTACAAAGGCCGTAGCCGAAAAAGTTGCTGAAGAACACAAAAAAACAAAGAAACGACCCTTAGAAGAACCATCTCATAAATCAAGCCTCCACACGGGTAGGGATCTTGATTTCGCCGCGTGTGCGGTCACGGTGAGGCACACCATACCGACGACCAACAGCCTTCGAACCACGGCCATCAGCGCCAGTGGTCTCCGGAGTGTAGATAGTATCCTTGATACGGTAGTCGAAGCGCGAGTCCTCGGGAGAGACAACAGTCAGCTTCTTCTCGCGGCGAGCCTGCAAGCGCTCACGACGCTCCTTCTCAATTGCGTCCTGGCGCTTGAGTCTCTTAGACTGCTTTTCTGAAACGGCGAGACGCTCGTTGGGATGCGCGAGGCGGTCGCGCTCCAGAGCAACCATGTGAGGGTGAGGAATGCGCACGTCAGCAGGCTGCAGGATTTGGCGAGCGTTGGCGCCCTTGCCGACCCAGGCGATGGAGTTGGGGTCCTCGATGATCTTTTCGGCCAGGTCGGAGGGGTGGGAAATTTCCGCGGCCTCGGAGTGCTCCATTGCTGGGGCGCCGGAGAAGACGCGACCCGCCTCGACACGGGTGAAAGAGCGGGATTCGGGAACTGGGTAGAAGATTTGGGAACCTGTCAAGGGATGGGCGGGGAGGTCGTTGATGGGTTCATGGTATTCTTGACGCTCGCCTTGCTGGGCGAGGGGTGTAGTGGGGACCATCTCGTGGATGGCCCGGGCATATGGCAGTGCTAGGGGTTTACCCTGATTGAGATTCGTCAGTTCTCAAGCGACCAAATAAAAGGTGATAGGAATCCAAAATGTAAGGTAACACAGTTCAGTTCAAAAAGTAAGGTTTAACCATGTGGGTGTCTTCAAGACTAATCGATTTTTTGTGACTCATCATATGCGTGGAGGGTCGAAGCAGAGTCCGAAAGCAAAGGGGAAGGAACAGCAGAAGGGAAAATGGTCTTACCTGCGCGCGTTGTCTCTTCTCCAATTCTACCAACCTTACGACAGCAGCAATACGCTTCATATCAATTCCAAGATGTACGCTGACAGCGCGAAGACTCATCTTCTGTTCAACAACGCGGTGATAGACCTCATCCCGTAGCTCCTCACTGAGGATAGGCTCGCTGATGAAACTTGAATTGTTGGGGAACGGACGGGAGGCATCTGAAGAAGATTCGGGGCCTCGCTGTTTTAACCGAGTAAGATAGTTGGTTTCGCCAGGAACGTGATGCTTGAAAACGGCTCCTTCAGTGTTGAGCCATTCGAACATTTGCCGACGAAGCTTGGTCTGTGCCTGTGGTGCTGCCGTGGCAGAAAATTGGCGCGAAAGGCATTGTGATGATGAAGAGGATAATGAAGGAATGGAAGAGAGTGAGGATGAGGAGGTAGCTGTGAGGTAGGGAAGAAGAGTGTTGGACACACTCCGGCTCTGCATCCGGGGTGGCATCTTGGAGGATATGATGGGGAAATGGGAGGGAAACTTTGATGTCGAACTGAATGGAAGACGCTGGATAATAATAATCAAGGAGTTCCAGCTGCCATTGACCCTTTTGCAGCAACAATTGAGGATGGGAGATTGTCGGGTTGGAGCGGGAAGTGTAGGTGTCTAGGGGAAGAAACTTCTCTCGGTAGTGTCATCACGTGACCTATCCCCACTGTATATGTACAGAAGTAAACATCTTCTCATACTGTACGGAGTATACTGGGACACCTGAGTATATGTATCTATCTAATCTTACGGTGGAAGCCTTCCAAGGTCGACTTCACAGGTATGAAATATATGAAAAGTGGCCAAAGGAGATCAAAAGTCCATGATAGCTCTTACAGACCTTAAACGTTATTATAAATGGATTGATGGATTCATTCTCCAGATTAACTGGAACCAGTTCATTGTATCAAGTACAGATCGAAGCAAATGTATCGGTATCATATCCCCGAGCAAGACGGGATAAGAAGAAAACAAAAAAAAATAGACACGCCTCGCTTCCATTCTTCTCCTGGAAAATCAGAGTAAGCAAGACCCAAAGCAAAACGAGTGGCAATGCAAGCAAAATGTAGAGGAGCTGTCGAGCAAATGCATGGACCGGACGCCTTTGTCTCCACCGAAACAGGAAGAATATGGCAGAGAAATAAAACCAACGCGAACGCCTGGGACAATATGTGGTCGAGGTGAGCCGATGTCATGTCCTTTCGCGCTCATGCCATTTGAGTAGAGAGATATTAGAAGAGAAGCTAAAGAAAGCCACATAAGACCCTTCCTTCGTACTTGCATAGAAATAAACACGCATTGCAATAGATAAAGCAAGTAAATCAGCAAAATCCTTTCCGATCCACGCAGACGATGCATCGAGAAAGATCCAGGGGATAGATGTAACAAACAGGGGGAATCACGGAATAAAGTAGATAATGGCTCGTATAGATCCTGGGTAGGCATACAGCAAACACGCATTAGTGTGCATTGCCTATCGAAGCAGGGTAACGAGCGAGATAAACGAGAATAAAAGCAAGAAATCAAGAGGGTATGAAGGTGTGAACAAAACGCAATGGCCGACAGAAACTAACATGCGCTCTCGAGCGCCTCGCGCCGACCAGATAAGAATACAAGTTTGGCAATGACCTGAAATGCAATCCTCCCAATGAAACGAATTAACAAAAAAAAGGAATGTGAGAGCGCCCAGGTTCCCATGCAACAGAAAGACGAAAGCCAAGAAAAGCACTGGCAGAAAAGAAGGGCAAAAAAACAGAAAGCAAATCCGAAACAGTACTCCCGAGAGTTATGCAGCCGCCGAATGCTGATCTAGCTCACGAAACGAAGATCCCCAAATGCGCCAGATATCCCAGTTCGTTCAAACATGCCGGGCATTATCTTAATATAACGCTTGGATGGGCTTAGCGACCCATCATGTAGTCAGGGTAAAAGGAATTATAGCCGTTCAGGTTCGGTGTCGGATTGTTGCCGCCGGAATTAGGAGGGGGCGGCGGCGACATCATCATGGAATTGGCTCCGTTTCGGATTCCCAGGCCCGAGTTCGGGTTGTATGAGGTATTGCCCATCAGTTGAGCATGCGGATTGACAGGGTTGTGCATGGAGGTCCCATTGCGCATCGGAGGCGCAGGCATGGGCATGCCAAGACCAGGGGGTGCTGCCAGTCCGGGAGGAGGGCCGTTGACGGCCGAGAACATGTTGTTATGAATTCCACTCAAGCTGCTGCCTCCATGGACTGCGCCCTGCCCGGAGGGCGAGTTGGATGAGTTCATGCTGCCGGGTTGACCAGAGCGCACACCCAACGGATTCTTTGAGAAGCTGAGACGGATGCCAGTCTTGACACTGTTTGACAGCTTGTAGCCGTACAGCTCATTGAGTGCTTTGCTTGCCATGGCGACCTCGTCGAATTCCACAAAGCACATGGGTCCGTTCTGCTTGTTTCGGAAACAGAGTCGTTTGTACCCGCGTTGTTTGGAGAAAAGGGCCTTGAGTTCTTCCTCGGAGGTGTCTGGCGGCAAGTTGCCCACGTACAAAGTGTTGCAAGGAGGATTCAGGTCATTCGGATTCGCAGCGGGCAAGCTGTGGCGTGGGGTGTGCTGAGCGTTGTATGGGTAACCATGGCCTTGGTTCGGGTATCCAGATGTGGGTGTTCCACCGCCCATGCGTTGCGCGCCACCCCCAGGGTAGTTCTGCAAAGGTGGCGAGGACATGTTGGTTGATAGGGACATATTGGCAAAGCGATTGGTCGGGATTTGAGGGTTGGTGGCCCGGCGCCCAGCGGAGATATTGTTGGAATGGCCGTTCTCCGCATAGCCCACCGGATCCTTGAGCAGCTCGCCCGTCTCCTCGTCCGGGTCCTCATCGATCATAGACTTTCCAGTTATGCGTGGAAGGTTATCAATGCCATTTCCGATCGGAGATTGTGGGGAGAAAAGGCTATGCATGCGCGATTCGGAGGTCGGAGGAAGTCCTTCGCCAATAGCCTGATTGGGGTTGGCGTTGGATAGCCTCTCCAAACTTTGGAAAGTGCCGTTGAAGCGCGAGGATTGGCGCGCCAGAGGACCGTTCGAGGCACCCATTAACGCACGAGTGGCGGTGTGATCGATGGTGTTACGGCGGGTGTTGGACAAATTCGCGCCCATCGGACCGGGGTACATCTCGACGACCATGTTGGCGTCGTTTTTGGAGTTCGGCTTGCCATCGAGGAGTGATCTGGCCTCTTCGGCGGCTGGCAAAGTAATGAATCGCGCGACCGCAGTCAAGAACCCGTCATCCTCGGGCAGGTCCAAGGTGACGAAGTCGGCGTCGACAAAGTCTTTGGCGAAGAGAAGCATGCTGCGCAGGGCTTCGCGGCTCGTATTTCGCGGCAGTTTGCGCATGAGAATGGCGCCTCCGTTTCCGCGATTTAGGCCATTTAGACCCTGGAGGTTGCGATCGTTATCGCCCAAGCGCATATTGGTATCGAATGAAGCTGTTGTACCGATAGGGGAGAAAGGGTATGAGAAAGATGGATTCATAGATGAAGGCGGTTGCGACGCATTCGGACTGTACACGTCGGTCGACATCGCATGCTGAGCCGTCAAAGGCACCTGCGAAGAAGGGAGTGACTGCTGTGGGGGCGAACCGGATGACACGGACTCTGTGAGCTGCGTAGTTCCAAAAGAGCCGGGACTCGTACGAGTGGACTGGCTAGAGCTGCCGCTCATCCCTCCACGAGATTTAAAAAAATTGTATTTTTTTTTCTTTCGCCTTTTCTAGGTTTCGCGATCACACAGGGGGAAGATAGTCCTAATGAAGAAAAAAGGAGTCGCAGGATTGGGACAGTCGGAGG